TCTCCCTACGCACTTGCACATGGGCCTGCCGTCGACGGTGCTGCCAGCATGAAGGAGTACTCTACCACCAAGCCGCGATGGCAAAAGTCGGACGCGAAAGACCCAGGGAGAGACCACGTTTTGCCCATTCTGTATCCGGACGTCCACAACGCATTTTGACAAAAATGTCCCGAGTTCGCGTCCCATCACTCGGCCGCCAGAGCGACGGCTGGCGCAAGGCGTCGGCGGCGATGCGCCTCGGGCCGCCACCAGTGGCCCACATGTCGACCAAGCGCAACGCGCAGATCAACTCGGTTGCCAAGAACGTGACGGTCGACGACATGCACCGGACGATTCTGCCCACATCGTCGCTCTTGCACCCGCGCGAGAACACCGCTTGGCAAGTCGTCGAGGCCCGCCACTTTGACGTACGTCCTCTCCGCTATGCGCGGCGAGCTGTAGCCGATGACAATAGGAGTTTATCCCTGTGCCACCCCACTGGCACGTGACGCTGGCCGCGCTCCAGGACGAGTGGGATTGGCACTTTGAGAACGTCCTGCATCTGCAGTGCGCGCTCACGCACTTTAGCGCGATCGACTCGCACAAGATTCCGCACTTTCCCGCCAACCGCACTGCCAACCGCAGCCTCGAGTGGCTCGGGGACGCCGTCCTGCAAGCCTGTGCGTCCTCGTACCTCTTCCAGTCGTACCCGACGACGCAGGAAGGCCAGCTTACGCAACTGCGGTCGGCGCTCGTCAAGAACCACGTGCTCGAGGTCGTCTCGACGCAGCTCAAGCTTCCGTCTGCCATGATTGTCGGAACGTCGATCTCGCAGCATGACCACGAGACAACGCCGCAAGCCATCAAGGTGCGACAGACAGTGCACGCAAGCGCCGTCGAGTCGCTCATTGGCGCCGTGCTTCTAGACCAGGTACATACTCCATCTTGCTGTGCAGAGCTACAATGTGCATGGTAGGGCATGGTGCGCGCGATGGAATTTGTCAACACGCGCGTGCTGCCGCTGGCGATCGAGTACGCTGTCTCGTCGACCAACTGGGATCCCGTTAGCGAACTCAACCGCGAAGCTGCGGCAAATGGCGCAACGATCCGCTACGACGAGACAAAGCTAGAGAGTAATGTGCACCAGGTCGTCGTTGCCATCAACGACCAGGTGCGTCCACCATCGATGCGGCGACAGATTCCTCATGTTGAACCCAGGCGATGGCGACGGCCCATGACGGCTCGTTCAAGACTGCGCGCCAGAAGGTGGCCACGCAAGTGCTCGAGCGACTGAAATCGCAACCCCATCTGTTTGTTGCGACGCAGTAGAGATAATATCGATACGTGCATTTGCGTAGCCGTTAAAATTCGGCTTCTTCACCGCTCGACCCATCGTCGTCGCCGCCCGGCGCAGCCGCGGTCTCTTCTTCTTCGAGCATCGGCGCTGCCATGGCGGCCGCCGCAGCGCGCCGCCGCGCACGGGGAATGATGTTGGACGTATCGACGCCGATCAAGTCGTCTTCGTTGATTTTGACATTGTCGTCATCGTCGTTGTCGTTGTCATCATCCTCATCATCATCATCGTTGGTCTTGGCGCGCTTCTTCTTTGGCGCGTCGTCATCATCATCGTCATCGCCTTCGTCGTCATCGCCTTCGTCATCATCGCCCTCATCGTCGTCGTCCTCTTCATCGTCGTCGTCGTCCTCTTCCTCCGACTCGACCTTCTTCTTCGAGGTCTTGGCCTTGGGCTCCGCGGCCTTGCGCTTGCTTCCGGCGTTCGGCGACCTACAATCCATGAGCCTTCATGCTCGCATCATGGAGGATGTCTACTTGGCGGTCTTCTTGTCCATGCTTCGGCTTCTCCAGCGGGTTGCGACTTGGGATGTGTGAACCAAATTGGACCCCACAAATTTACTCGTGTTCGATTTTTATTCATTTTATTTTATTCAGCTTACTATTGCGTAGTTCAACGAAACCATTTTTTAAATTGTGTACGGTGGCGAGCGGCTGGATTTAAATAGCTCGGAAACCGACCAATCATGTGCGCTTGACGAACCGCGGGAAAACGCCTCGGAGATCTTTGGCGGCCGCTGTTCCGTTAAACCGCGTTTAACTTGTCTCCTGCTTGGCCTTGCCTCCAGGTGCTAGCTTTCATGCTGCGACTCGTCGCTAGAACAACATACTGCAATGAAGTCTGCGTGAAGATGGATTGAAGCAGCCTATAGGAGCTCTCGCAAACGAATTTATTTCATAGTGAACATCGGTAAGTCTTCTAAGCTAAATCATGGGCAAATTCCCTCTTTGCATGTAGATTCATTGCATCTCAGCCACGCTTTCAGCACCGCAGTACGATGTACATGACTCAAGTTTACATTAACACCTGCAACGTACCTCGATGACGAAGCCGACGTAGTAAGACGCAAGTACTATGGTGACAGCTATCGTTGCATGCAGAAGTCTCAAGCGAACTCGCCTGTGGACTTCTAAAAAGGGCAGATCAAATATTCGTGGCAACTGCACATTTCAACTTTGAAGTGTCGGCTTCTGGATCGCGGCTCGTTCAGGCGGGGTGTCAACTTTGGATCCACTGTTTGTTGCCATCCGAAATGCAAATTTTATCCGGAATTCTCAGCCAATCAGCGATCCGTATCGACAGCCAATCAATTCCTGCGCTGCCAGTTCCAAACGCATCAACAAGCAAGATGAAGGACATCGTGCTCAAGCAGAAGCTCCGCAAGGGCCGGCGAAAGGCGCGCCGAAAGAGCGGCGAAGAGTCGTACCAAGAACGCCGCAACAACTCGGTGCAGCAGACGCGCGACCGCAAGAAGCAGGCGCGCAAGCGGCTGCGCATGGTCAAGACCCAGCGCGCGCTCGACAAGCAAACCGAGATCGTGCGCAACTGCCCGATCCACAAGAAAGAGGTACGTCTACACCTTCACGCTAGACACACATGAATGATCTTGTCGGCTGTAGGAGGCCAAGCGCCCCAAGGGACCGCTGCAGCAACACGAGTGGAAGCTCCGCGGGGCAGCACGCCCGGCCGCGCTCCTTGCTCGCATCGCCAATGGCGAGTGCGACGCCGACGGCAACGAATTCAAGGCGCCCGAGAAGACGGTCGATCTCTTTGAAACGATGCCTGGCAAGTTTGGCGAGCGCGAAGAGACGGTTGAATACCTTCGGTACACAATCGAGAGGCGCTTTGTTGTTGCTCATACGCTGGCGCGTAGACTGCGCAAGGAGGTCGCGCTGGCCGCGTGCTATGCAGGCATGATGGAAGACGGCATTGCCCACTTTGAAGCGTGCTTGGAGCTCGATCCGACCGATACGGTGTGTGCCCGTGAAGGCCTTGTGTGTGCGCTCGTCGACGAAGGCCGCGCCGACGAAGCGCGCGTTTTCTTGGACAAGTTTGAGACGACGACAGCGATTCTCGAGTACTGCCGCGTCATCATCGAGTACGTGAGCTGGGAAGTGCTTGAAGAGGAAGGCTCGTCCGAGGTACTGACGTGTCGTCGCCGATTGGCGGTATTGAATGGTGATGGGTAGGAGCTCGTTCAAGCGGCGTTTGAGAAGGCGTGGAGCCTCAACCCGTACATCGCCATGTTCATTGCCGGCTACGAGTCGTTCAACGCCGTCGTCGAGTACGTGGACGAAATCAAGGCGTACGACCACGGCTCGATCGAGGAGTCGTTCCTCTACTGCGCAACCAACAGTACGTAGCGTGCTCCTTGTCGTATGCTAAGAGGACCGACTCTAGTTGGTGTTTGGCTCGACACGGTCGGTGCCCAAGCATGGATCCAAAAAGAGATCGACGCCCGCGACGAACCCGTCGTTGACGAGACCAAGTACAAGGACGAGATGTACCTGGGCATGTACACGACGGCCGTCGAGATGTTCAAGGAGGCGCAAAACGAATCCAACAGCGACAACAACAGTGAAAACCAAGATGACGACGACGAGTAAGCCAGTAGTAGGGCGCATCCAATTGCATTTGCGTAGAAAACCCACTTCTTCTTCTTCCATCGTTCTTGCCTCTCGCGTCCTAGCAATGGGCAAGGCAGGCGCGCACCTGCATTTCAAAAAGCAACCGAAACGCTGGATACAGCATCGCGACAGATCAATAGGTCCACAGTTTGCTAAAGATAGAACACGCGGCCAGTCGTTTGGTTTGCAAGCATGGCCGACGACGCAGACGCCGGGTGCTTTGCGCAGCCGCTCGACAGCACGGATGGTCTCTCGTCTCGCGAGGCTAAGATCTGATGGCTGCGATGGTACATAGCGCTCATGTACGCGTCGCGCATGCAGTACTTGCACTCGGACGAGAACCAAGACAAGACGCGGCCCGACGCGCTCTTCATGTCGCGGCGGCAAGTGAAAAAGCACAGCGAGTTCAAGATCCACACGTCGCCGATCCCAGCGCTCAAGAAGATCGAGCCGGCGCACTCTTTGCACCACCACCACCACCGCAAGACGAGTGGCCTCCGAGGTAATGCGCATTGCCATCGACTGCATAGCCACCGTATCAACAAATGCGCAGTGGCTCAAATGGGCGCGGCCATGAACGGCGGCTGGATCCCATGCTTCCAGGCGGGCTGCCACTTTTGGCAGCACAAGGAAACGGGCCAGTGTGTGCCCAGCGACGCGCTCGGCAAGCCGTGTCCGTTCCACGCGCCAAACGAGCAGTGCGCGTGGACGCCCAGTGGCACGGACGAGGCCAGCGACGACGAAGCGACCCCGCCGTTTCCCGCGAGCTTCAAGTTCTTGGAGCCGGACGTCCACCCACACAGCACGAGTACGCACGGCAAGTGCAATGTGCTGAGGTTATGCTGCCTCGCATTAGAACCGAAGAAGGCGCATGTCTCCCACATTGTGGTCCGCAAGAGCGAGCGATAATAGGGTCAGGCGACTGCAGCGAGCGAGCGACCGATGTGCGAGAGATCGATGGACGTGTAGAAATCCAGCGACTAGATTCCTCACACGAGGTAATGCTTCGTCGGTAATGCTGGACTCAAACAACGTCCTTCCCTCCACGACTGCGTTGGTCACGACGCTGGCCCCATGCGTGTCCCAGGCGTCACCACAGCAGCTTGCAATTCTCTTAACCAAGTACACATTCCACAAATCGAATCCACAGATCGCGCGTCCCTTGGCATGCGCCGATCCTGTTCTAATTGAAGAAGATGGAGGTAATCGCCAACCGAGCCCGCTCTCGGTTCGTCCAAGAACGCGGATGTGACGAGGCGGCATCACACGCCGCTTCCCGCTGGTGCCACCGTGCGTTAAACGCGTCCAAGGCGGCTTTATACGTTTTTTTATTCACGCCGTCATGCCGTTATGCAGTCATCAAGGTATGTTGTATATTTAACGTGAAGAAATATGTGTTTATAGAAGAAAGTCAATAGTTTAAATATCTATAAACGCTATATTCACCACTAGAACATAGAGGGTATAGGCTTTAAAAGGGCGGTAAAAAGCCGACTGGGGGCGGATCTGTGGCACCTTGAAGTTGGTGCACACGAAGATGTACTTGTTTTTGCGAATTCCGTCGGTTGTCTGCGGCCAGTCCGGATGAATTCCTTGGCAACCGGCGAGAAATCTTTGGTGCGGTTTTCTCACTTGAGAATTGTCGGCGATGGCGACGATGCAGCATAGCCAGTCGGACGTGTCCCTAGGGACGTCTGGCGCATGGGCCGAGATCAAGAAGGAAGAGGGCATGCGCAAGCGCTCCAACACGGCGCAGAACCTCCAGTTCTATGGTACGCGCCGCTTCGTGACGAGCAGATGCATATCTTTTACATGGTAGTCGAGGAGCAGAAGCGCCTGTACCAGGAACTGCCCTTCATGGCGCTCCCGGGTATGCGCCGGCAGTCGTTCCAGCGCGAGCGCAGCTTCTCGAACCTCAAGAGCAAGAGCTCGTGGGGCAGCTTTGGTAGCATCACCAACTTGGTCGCGCGCGGCGACGAATCGCAGGCGCTGCTGCCCGATACGCGCGGCGAGCCGGGCTACACCGTGCCGCTCTTGCTCTCGTGCTGCGTGGCGCTCATGAGCGCGTTCCAGTTTGGCTACAACACGGGCGTCACCGGCGCCTTGAACCCGAACGTGATTTTCCCCGACGACGTCAAGACGCCGGACCAAAAGAGCTTTGAGTGGTCGATTTGCGTCTCGGTCTGGGCGATCGGTGGTCCCCTCGGCTCGATCGTCGCGGGCAACCTCAGCCAAAAGTACGGCCGCAAGAAGACGCTCATCTTGGACTGCTTCCTCTTTATCTTTTCCGGCGCGCTCATGGCTTGCGCGGTCAACATTTACTGGCTCATCCTTGGCCGTTTCCTTGTCGGCTTTGCCGCCGGTATCGTGAGCGTCGTCGTGCCTCTGTATCTTGGCGAGCTCGCGCCGCCCAACCTTCGTGGTATGTGAAGTCCGCATATTGCTTTAGCTCGTGTACTCATGAACGCACTTCAGGCGCGCTCGGTACGGGCTACCAGTTTGGTGTCGTCTTGGGCATCTTGGCAGCCGACATCATGGCCTTTGGCTTCTCGGACTACAGCACGGGCATTGCGCACCCCGGTTGGCGCTTCATGTTTGGCTTTACGATCATCCCGGCCTTCCTTCAGGTGAGACGACGACGTTGACGCCAGAAGGTTCATGGCATTGGCATGTAGTTGGCGCTCGCGTCGTTCTTGACAGAGTCGCCGCGTTGGCTCTTGACGCAGAACAAGCCCAAGGAAGCGGCCGGTGCGTACCGTCGTCGGCGATGCTTGTCAGGACACTCATGTTTCTGCTAGAAATCTTGCGCCGCTTGCGTGGCACGACCGACGTGTATGAGGAAATCGACAGTATTTGCTCGGCGAGCGACAACGAAAACTCGGGCATGACCATGTGGCAGGTCCTCGGCGACAAGAGCATTCGCTTCCCGCTCATCGTCGGCGTCACGCTCCAAATCGCGCAGCAGCTCTCGGGCATCAACGCCGTCATGTTTTACGCGAGCTCGTTCTTCCAGGGCGTGCACCTCTCCAACCCGCTCGTCGGCACGACGCTTGTCGGTGTCGTCAACGTTGTCTCGACCGGCGTCGCGCTTGTGCTCATGGACACGGCGGGCCGGTACTCCATCGCTTCCTTCATCGTATCGTCTTCATATCACTTTGTTGTAGCCGCCCGCTCCTGCTCTGGTCGTGCGGTGGCATGATCCTCTCGTGCGTCGTGCTGACGCTCGGCTTGTGGCAGCTCTTGCCGTACTACGAGATGGTCAGCGTCGGCGGCGTCATGCTCTTTGTGTGGTTCTTTGAGATTGGTCTCGGTCCGATTCCGTGGCTCATCGTCGCCGAGATGTTCCCGGCCAAGCCGCGCCCGACCGCGATGGCGCTCGCGACCATGGTCAACTGGCTCTTTAGCTTTGTCATTGGCATTACGTTCCCGATGCTCCAAAACCACTTGCTCGAAAACTCGTTCGTGCCCTTTGGCATTGCGCTTGTCCTCGCGTTTGCCTTTACGTTCAAGTACGTGCCCGAGACGAAGGGCAAGACGCTCGAAGAGATCCAGCAAGACATGGCGCACATGTAGACAGTGCTGCGCGAAGCTCGTGGCGCTAGGTCCACTTGATACACTGATACGATTTGCATCTCGAGCGTGTGTGTGTTTTTGTACCGCAACCGCCACCTTGAAACCGTGGCCTAAATTTACGACGTCGCCTTGTCGGAAGCATGCTGCGCCGCCGGCCCGAGTACGAGTACGCCAAGGGCCTCGTCGAAGCGTAGGACGCGGTTGATGATGATGTTGCGGGGCAAACCATGGCGGTGTAGGTACTTTGTGATCCTCACGCGCGGCTGCGGCAACGAACGCTGCAGCAACGCCTACTGCAAGTCCAACCCAGCAGCTCTGCGCGTGACAGCGAACGAGGCGGCGGCCAAGGCCCTCGTTTTGGCTGTCGAGGCGCCGATGGCCATTTGCCTCACGCCGCTCCAGATCGACATTGGGCCCGAGACCAACGACGACGACGAGACGCCAGCGACCGAGCATGGCGATGCTTGTCCGTCGACGCCACGAAAGCGCTTGACCACCGCCGTGCAACTCGACACGTCCATCAACAGCCCACAGCGCGCATCGAAAGCCACCAAGGGCAAGTTGCTCTCGCCGCCCCGGCGGTCGATCAACCACGCGACGGAAGAGGCCAAGCATTAGGCGCCCTCCTTCTCAACACGACCCATTTCCATGCCTTAGTATATAAGAACTGACACGAGACCCATCCAGTCCATACCAACCACTCTGCTAAAACTAACGTTGCTCTGGTGGGGCGATCAACGATAGCAAAGTTGTGTATATCGACTCTTGCATTGACGAGCACTCTGCAGTGCCATCGTGGACTAAAGCCAATCTTGCTCAGCTACACGCGTGGACTCTGACGTCACTGCTGACACGTCGTGGGGGCCTCCACGTATGGCGGGAAGGCCAATCGAGAGATGCAAAGGCGGTAGTTGCCAGTGCAAATGGCTCAATGGTCAAATGACATGCCAAACAGCTCCTGGCATCCTGCAGCACCAGCTAGCATGGGCCTCCGAGGCGTCTTGGACGTTTTGAAGCTATTCCAGAAATCTACTGCTGATCTACTTTTTGAGCAAATCCCACGTGTTCATTCGCATATCAAGCACGTGAATAGGCGACTTTGCGACTTGCTCTACCCTGCACACTTTTGCATTTTCATGATTTTCGAGATTTATTTTCACATTTTGGATTTTGGTCGACAAGTGAGAAGCCTCGCCACTTGCGCACTCGTGGAGCAGCACGGGTACCCGACACCGCTGCGGTCGCTTTCTGCCACCTGCCTATTCTCTTATTTCCTTGAGCAAATAACTCGGTTCTTCGAATGACAGTAAGAAGACGATACCTTTTCAATGCTCGCTGCAACGCTTGTCTCGGCGCCTGTTCTTGGTTGTCGATGGCGCACTTGTGATAGTGTGCCCAGCAAGATAAAGATCACCACACAACGTCCCTCTGCATGCACATGCAATTTCCTTCATTTACTTTACTCTTGGCCGACGGGCGCGACGACGGGGGCCGGTGGGTCATTGGGCGTCGGCGTCGCCAGTGGGCGCCACGAGGGCAAGAGCGACACGAGGAGGCCCATGAGAAAGATCTGCAAGTCTTTCCACCAGCCGCCTTCGGCCGGAATCGTCAAAAACGGGGTTGTCGGCGCCACATTTTCCATCGGGGGCACCTCAAAATCGTTGTTGTCATTGGCTGCATTCGGGATCGGCGTCGGTGCTTCTGGGTGGTTGCCTTGGATCATGTCGTAAACCTTGTTGAGAATGCCCGTGAGGTACAGGTAGATGACGCTCGAGATGCCAAGGAGCAAGTACAATCGGGGCAGCGGGAGGTCTTGTCCGATGATGTACATCATGACGGCCATCTTGACCGCGAGCTTCAAGTCGAGAAGAGCGAGGACGGCGCGGATGGCGGCGAACCGACGACGGGGCATCGGCGCCTCGGCGACCGGCACGTCGTCGCGGTACACGGTGAACGTCCGCGTCGTGAACGACGAGATGTTTGTGAGCGGTGACGCCGACGGCTGGTGCGCGCCGTAGATCTGCTGGCACTCTTGCACGTGTCGGAGAAACTGGATTTGCATCAACAGCAGCGTCTCCTGCTGCGCGAGATAGTGCTGAAGCTGGAGGGTCTGGACACCCGGCATCGCAGGGAAGCACGGCGGTGGCGACGGTGTCTCGGCCGACGCTTGTGGGAACGGGGACATGGGCGGAATAGGCATGGACGGTGCGGCGCCGACGTGGGGCACGGCACCGGGAGGGGGCATTGGCATCTGTGGCAGCGGAAATGCGAATGGCGACGTCGCCGTGGATGCTGTGGGTGCGGCCATCGTGGGCGGCGCGACGGGCATCGGCGCCGCAGGTACAGCAGCGGGGCTCGATGCGACTGGTGCTGCTGCTGACGTCGGCGGGCTTCGCACCGGCGCCGGCTTGTCGGGGTTGCTCACGAGCAAGTGGAACGTGTACACTTCATTGGGCTCCATCTACATGCGCGCATGCGTGAGATCCAAGGCGGTCTTGAGGCAGCGACGACGTACGCGCTTGAGCACTTGAGCAAGCGTTTGCGCGTTTTCGCAAATCTTGCCGCCAAAGATGAGCCGCTGGTGCTTGGGCTCTGCGTCCATACGCTCCTGGAGCGCTTCCTTGAGCGCCAAGACCGAGCTCGAGCTCTCCATCTCGAGGGCCACCGTCAGGTTGCGCTCGTAGACGTTCTTGACCGCGATCTTGACCGTCATGTCCTCGTCGCTGCTCATGTTGGCGACCTGAGCCGAAATATCTGAATTCTCCCGAAACGAGCCAATACAAAGACTTATTATAGATTGACCTCTTTTTAGTGACATGGGTACTGGAACCATGCAGTAGAAATGACGTTGTACCTCGGTATAGGAGCATCACGGCGAGCAGCGATGGACGCGCTATATTTGGCCCATCGTATGACGTGGCAACCGGATAGGCGATGGAGATCCGGTAAAACCTGTCACATACGATTTCACGAGAGAATTAATATACATGCATTCCTAGAGGTCTCGCCGAATTTTTCGGCGCGAAAAGTTGGTGTGGACATGGTTCAACTTCGGTCAGAGGCGCTTCGTGAGCGCGCAGCCGAGCACTGACGTGCCACTGCGTTTCAATGGCCGACGAGACGGTATGAAGGAACACCACTCTGGCCGCGGCGTTCGAATTCCTTGAGCCTATCAAATCGTTTGAAAATTTCCGGCGTCATTGGTGGTCGACATCGCTGTGGAGCAGGCATCGCAAGAAGCAACATACACATGCAGTGGGCAGACATGGGGGCATCAGGTGCAATAGTGCTCGCTTCCAGCCTGCAGAACACGGTGCCGAGACGATCAGCTCGAGTTGATGCATCGCATCCCTGGCGACATTGAACCAGCAATCACCGAAGCACTGGCCACAAACCGCGAGCACGATCGTTGTCAGTGGCACTTGCAGTGGGTTTGCCACGACCAACGTTCCATCTTCAACCCACATGGACGACGAAGGTTGCTTGACGACGGTGTTCCATCACATGCAGGCCGTCCATTGCTCCGTCGAAGGCGACCTTGGCGTTGCGTCAAGGTCGGAGCATATCTCGCCAGGAGGAGAAGGTGATGCTTACGAAGTGGAAGCCTTGTGCGTGCGTCTTTGAGCGGTCTGGGCTGCGATGCTTCGGAAAGCATCGAACGAGTAGCAGCGCATGGAAGCGACGCAAGATTGCCGCCGGCGGAGGAGGGTCGGTAGAGGCAACAAGCGCGTGGCTGAACCGTTGTCCTCTCACCTTTCGCAGGGATTTGCATGTGCGATGGGAAGCCAACGGCACTGTCGGGCACATAGAAACCATTTAGGGACGTGGTCGACGCTACTTGAGGCATATTCGACAGCTACTTTTTCTCTTTGGCTTGATTAGCTGCGGGAGGCAACTCTAGTAAACAGAGGAGGACGCAGTGGGGAGTCGCGAGGACCCTCACACAGTTGGTGGTGGCATGGACACGACGTGGCATGCCGAGACGAGAAGTATCTTGGCGCGTTGAACCATAGTACACGCCGGTTATCGAGGCGGCAATTGCACCAGATGGGACATGCCACACGCGTCAGTGAACCAGACGAGTTGCATTGCTTGAAGAGCCGTACATTACGTCCAAATACTTGAACCCATCCCTTCCGGTAGTGTGTGCCACCCACATACCAATGGCGACTGCGGCGTGACTGCGCGCGGACGACGGTCCGACGTCGAGGTGCGCCATGACCGCTGTATCGCGAGCCTTTGCTCTAGTCCTCACGGCTGCTTGGCAACGGGCGCATACGTGGCAAATTGCGCGGCAAGGAAAGATTCGTGAAACGGTCCCGTTGATTTTTGGGTGCGTTTTCCAAACCCAAAATGCAAGTTGGCGCTCAAACCATAATAAAAATAGGACCGTCGTACCACTACTTTACAAAAAAAGTATCAAGTACATGCATTTAAACAGAGATTCGTTTTATCCAGTGGCATACTGTTTCAAAGGCTTGAGGTCTCATGCTGCATAATAATACACAACATGTATAAAATAGTAGTATTAAAAATCGTTTCGAGAGCCGAATAATAAAATGTGCGTTCGCACGCTCAACCGCTTCCTTGCACCTTGTATGGACCGTCGGTAATAAAATACTTGCACACCCGTGTCTATACTCAGGCCAAGTACAAACGCGATGGTGGCATTGTATTGTGCGTCCCACCTCCAACACAATCAGTTTCGAATTTCCAGCGTCGAGCAGAAGTGGCGATCCTTTGACCCAGTTCTTAGTTGCAGCATGACGAGTACGGTGATAAATGCATCGGACCATGGAGCTCATTGCGGACCGTAGCCTTTATGTGCTACGATATCCAGACCCCGTCGAGCTCGGATGCGTCCTGGTCGCGCAACAGCACCGTGCTCGTGTGCCCACCGGCGTCGCGACACCCCACCTGTATGTACTTTTACACCTTGGGTGTCGTGGCCGTTCCGGAGACTTATGTATCTCTACTTGCCTTGTAGGTCGCACTTGCCACAAGCGGTACGTGCCTTTGCCTCGCCGTCGCGACGCTCATGCGAAGCTTGTAGGATTGATACGGTCCGCATTGGCATCATCTATACGCACATGGACGGCTACATTCTGATGCGCTGGTACCACGTGGGCTGCATTGCACCGCCGGACGACCTCATGGCCCACGACATTGAAGGCCTCGGCGAACGCGCGATGCGCCCGTATCGCTCGTGCATCTTTGAGTGGCTCGGTCGCAAGACGACCAAGCCTCGCAAGCTACCACCAAGCCTGCTGGTGGGTTACCCTAAACCTCCGCTCGCGCCACCTGCCCATCGCCCGCTTCCGATCAAGTCGCCTCGCCACCAAACGTCGACGCGACGCTCGATCCTCGAATCGTATTTGCACGACAAGGGTCATCTGCAGCCGTCATTGGTGCCGCCGTGCCTCTAAGTCGCCTCTCGCCTTCCTATTATAAGCCCGCTTCTCACTCTACTGCTGGAAATTATCTACTAATTTAAATTCAAATACTGGCATGGTCTTCGCCACTGACTAATCCTATGCGACTCCGTACGCCTAGTACCTCGATCGGAGGCATACTACGACGCAAAACACGAGAAAGCATCATCGTCCTACACTTTGACGGAAACGCTGGCTGCCATCATCGTCGCTCTGCAAGGCTTCCAAAATGAGCTAATGCTTGCACCCTTCTGTTGGCGTGGTCTTTTCGAGAAGGCGGTGACGACGCTCAAGAGGGTGCACTTGAGTGGGGTGATTCGGTACATCTCGGCGGTACTCCACCCCACTCCACCCCACATATCTGTGCGATGGATGTAGTATATACTCCAGCGAACGCCTTGCAGAGAGAAATGCTGAGGCTCGATCGACGCCATGTAGCGCCAAGGCCTCCTGGCGGCTCGGGTGCCAAGTACGAGTGAGTACCAGTAGTACCCGAGCCACCATGTCCCACCTGCTCGTCGCTGACGACGTTCCGGCGCTACGGCACAAAACCACGCATCTCCTGAAGTAGCCACGCAATGGCTCGCAGACGCAAAGACGGTGGAGGCCGGATGTGGATGGCAAAGCTTCGAGACTTTACGCAGACTTATTGTATCAATGCGTCACGGGCTTCATGGGCTCTGCGCGCGCATTGTCGCCTTGCGTTTGCTGCTTGATGTTGGGCTCAACTTCTCCGATCAAGGCGCTATGCCATCGTTCATGAGACCCGATATCCTTCGGGAAGATCGCGTACATGTTGTCGCCACGCACAATATATAAGCCCAAGTCGACCACTTGCACGTCGGCCTTGGCGGAATAAATACGCTCGAAGCTGTCGTCGAGCACGATGTTGATGCACTGGTCGTAGCCCTTGAGCGTGCCCTACATATCGCTGCATGAGCTCGAAGCCATCGGAGCACCGCCTACCACAAAGTTGCGCCCGTCGTTCGTCGTCACGGAGACCATGTCTACGCAGGAAGAGGCCATGAGGCTGCGCACCGCGTCGTCGAGACGTACGGTCCACCATCTCTTGCAGGTACGACGCCATCTCGCTTGATCGCACGCCAAGAAAATCCAACACCACAAACACACCGAATAATGCGTCCGGATGGAAATCCGGATGCAACGATACTATCCGGATATACGGATAATAAATCAATTTAAAATATTAATAATATTTTGAGAAATGAGGAGAAGTGATGGCACCGTTGCGTCACCGGTCGCGTCGGGACGAAGACGAAGGCTTGCGATGTCTATGCCCGCGATTCAGTGCACCGACTGCGATGTATTTTCGTCCTCTTTTCGGACGCAATGGGGCTGAACGCGAAATTGTCTTGGCGTCGGAACCCTCTCGCGCAATGGTGATGGGCCGTGCCATCCAAAGCGACGATCGGGTCGGCAGAGATGGGCAGAGTGAAGATGGTTTCGCGCTCCTCGGCGCAAGCACTTGGCTCATGGAGTGGCGCCGCCTGGCTTTTTCCGTCAAAACATTGAGGCCTGGAACCGAATTTCACTTTCATTTCGGATTACTCCTGGTTCTAAAAATAATTTTCGTTCGGATGCAATGGTTATATATGCAAATTTGTATCGCAAGCGGTCCATTGCATTGAGATCAAAGGGTGGTGAGTAACAGTCGGATTTTTGGACGCGGAATAGGCCGTTTGAGTCGCAAAGAACGCCAATGCAGCGGGCGCCGAGGAAGCGCCGGGCCAAGGAGCCACTCGCCGAGCCCAAGGCGCGCAAGACCGCCACCACCAAGAAGACCGCAGCTGCGAAGAAGACGGCTGCCAATGCAGCCTCCGACATAGGTGAAGACGTTCTCGCCCTCATCATTGTCGAGCTCAAGAAATGGCGCCTCTTCGATCCGAGCAGCCTCTGCGCGCTCGCGTACACGAGCAAGCGCATTCGCGCTGGACTACCGTTCCAAGACATTGTGCGCGAGGCGACCGTACCGCGCTTGCTCGAGCGCGGTCGGAGCGCGCTGCGTCGAGCGTATCTCAACAAGCACTACTTTGGTGTCGCCGACGACGGCAATGTCTGGTGGACGAATGCTGACTACGACCGCGAAGTCGCGGCCCTTGATGCCACCCCATACTCGGACAAGGACGTGCTGGCGTACTGCCAGGTCTCGACGCCCGACTGGCTGCACGCGTTCGAGAACATGCACAGCCGGTACCAGCTCACGTACTTGGGCGACCGGCACCAACTGCTCGTCTCGTACATGTGCACGTTTGAAATGCTCATCGCCCATTTGCGGCGCCACCTCTTTTTCGACCGGACGCCGAAGCTCTCGATCAACGGCACGATGCCCCGCAAGGACGCGATCGTTGCGCAGGTGCTCAAGCAGCAGCGCGACGGCACCATCTCGATCGTGTGCCCCGACTTTGGCCACCCGCACATGTTTGATCTGCACTTAACGAAGGCGCCGATGACGCTGATGCCTGGCGAAGACGCTGTCATGGAGCGCCATTTGCCCATGGCATACCCACCCACGCATGTCAACGCCGAGACGTCGTCGGTCGAGACGTGGTTTCCATTCCTCTCCAAGTTCATCTCGAACGGCGGCCAAGTGAGCATTGGCCGACAGGCGCACCACCACATGATGGTGCTCTCGGGCGAGCGCATCGTGCACCGCCATTTCAAGCACATGGGCTCGCTCCAGCGCTACCTCGAGTCGGCGGATCAGCACTGCCGGCGGTACTTCGAGTCGGCCGAAGATGAGTACGACCCGTACGCAGACGACGACGACGAGGAGGATGACGACGACGACGAGACGGCGACCACGGACGGCGTGCCGTCCTACAACGACGGCGTCTCGCCCTCGATCCCTGACACGGAGAGCGAGCGCATGGTCGACGGCGCGCGCAGCTTCAACGCCGACGTGGTGTTTCCGCATTTGAGCAAGTACATTTCGGCCAAAGGGTGGCAGTCGATCGAGCTCAACGTGTTTGGCTCGCGCTACGCGACGGTCCACAAGGGCGTGCAGTCCAACTCGATCATGGCGATCGCGATCACGCACCCGCCCTCGACGTCGCTCGACCATATGCTCAAGGAGCTCAATGCGTGCGTGGCGCCAGGACCGCTGAAGGCCCGCACGGACGCGATCAAGAAGCGCAAGCAGCAACAAGAACTCATCCCAGCGCACCTCAAGTACCGGCGGTTCCTCGTTTTCATGAAGCACGCGCAGATTCTGCAGCAAGGCCAAGTGTTTTCGATCTCGGCCCGGCACAACATGTACGTCAACGCCATGGTTGGCGACGACATCTTTGCCGCGTCGAGTCCCAACTCGATCGTCGTGCAGTTTGAGCTCACGTTCCCCCAAGTCGATCAGTACGAAAACTCGCAGGTCGTCTCGCTCGGGCTCGTCGAGCCAAGCGAGTACCCCAAGACGCGCGTGTCGGCGCGGTTCGTGGACACAAACCTCGACTTTCCCGTGCTCTGCTGGCGCAACGGCCTCGAATTCCTCGTCGGGCGCGAATCCATGTACCCGACCAACGACGATGGGTACGAAGCCGCCATCGATACCTCAGCAGCATATGCAACTTCTCTAGGCATCGCAACTTTATGCTGCGCTACGAGAAGTGCCCGTTCAAGAGCGGCGACACGGTCTCGCTCCTCTTCAACCGCCAAGAAGGCACGGTGCAGTTTGCCCACAACCAGCAGCTCCAGCCCTTTTACTTTACCGGTACCAAGGAGACTGTTTGAGGGTTGGCTAATGGCGCGATCGGCGTAGGCGTCAAGTGCAACAACTTTTACGAGACGGGCCTCATGGTGTTTGTGACGCTCGAGCGGCCGAACGTCCAAGTGCGCAGCCTCGACGCGCCCAACATGAAGTTTATCGCGCCCACCGCGCAACGCGTCTACTACAACTTTGACCAATACGACTTTTAAGCTGGCCACGCCCGCGCATAGCGTCGTCGCGTGGGCCTATATTATTCCAAGCTTGTTCTTTCATCCGCTTTGTCTTTGTTGCGGGTATGATGCGAGGATGATGGCCTTGGGCGATGTGCCACCAGTCTGCCCTCGATCGAGCACGTGCGTGGCCAGTCTGTAGCTCCAAGGCCTGCCGCTTCGTCCATATCGCACAATGGCCGTGGCCTACGTGGCAGCCACGCGGCTGACCTGTTTACGAGCATTCGCCTAACTCGCCAGCAGCAGACTTGTCCATGGCGCCAAGGTCTGTGCAACAGCCATGGAGATTGCCATTGCCAAAGTAGAGCTCAGTCACGTCCTGTCGCTCAAAGATCGCAAAACGAGCGGTGGTGGTATCCGGATACGCCGGATAAACCGACTTCAGCGTGGGATTGTGAAAAAACGGAGAAGGCAGCCTTCACTCTTCTTGGTGAATGACGACGCGTCCCGCCGTCTCCAGCCCATCCCCGACCAAGACCCGCAAGCTGAACATGCACGTGAGCCGCCAGCACTCGGAGCGCGACTGGGACCTGCACCGCCTCCTTCTGCGTCCATCGCCCTTTGGCAACGAGACCAACGAGGACATGGGCATGGGCAAGTTCGCTCCGGGTATGGACACCGTGGACTTTCTCAAGACCGAGGCCAAGGTGCTCGTGCTCGGCGCCGGTGGCCTTGGCTGCGAGATCCTCAAGGACCTCGCGTTCTCGGGCTTCAAGGACATCCACGTCGTCGACATGGACACGATCGACATCTCGAACCTCAACCGCCAATTTCTCTTCCGCCGGGCCGATGTCGGGCAACCCAAGGCGCTGGTGGCCGCCAAGTTTATCATGCAGCGCGTCAAGGGCGTCACGGTACGACGCTCGTGTAGCGCTTCATGTGCACTCATAATGGTGCTTGCAGGTCACGCCCCACCACTGCGACCTCCGCACGTTTGACAGCGAATTCTACAGCGACTTTCGCCTCGTCATCTCGGGCCTCGACAACATTGACGCGCGGCGCTTTGTCAACTCGGTGCTCGTCTCGCTCGTCGAGACGTACGACGACGGCGACATTGACCCGAGGTACGTTACGCGTTGCTTTCCATGCGTGTTGAACCCTCTACTATATAGCACGATCATTCCGTTCATTGATGGCGGTACCGAAGGCTTCAGGGGCCAGGCGCGCGTGATCCTTCCGCGCATCACGTCGTGCTTTGAGTGCTCGCTCGATGCGTTCCCGCCGCCGACATCGTTTCCGATGTGCACGATCGCCGAGACGCCGCGCCAGCCTGCGCACTGCGTCGCGTACGCATCGGTCATCCTCTGGGAGAAGGAGTTTCCGGACACCAAGATGGACACAGACTCGCCCGAGCACATGCAGTGGGTCTACCAGAAGGCGCTCGAGCGCGCCGAGAAGTACGACATTCCGGGCGTCACGTACGTCTTCACGCTGGGCGTCGTCAAGAACATCATCCCTGCGGTTGCGTCGACCAATGCCGTACGATACATATATGCGTGGAGCGCGATAAGCACGCACAACATGTGTAGGTGATCTCGGCCATGTGTGTCAACGAAGCGCTGAAGGCCATGAGCTACTGCAGCCAGACGATGCACAACTACCACATGCACATGGGCGCGACAGGCATCTACAGCCACACGTTTGAGTACGAGAAGAAGCGCTTCTGCGGCGTGTGCGCGACGGAGAGCCATGTGTTGCGCGTGCACCCGAACACGCTTCTGAAAGATGTGATCACGACCGTACGCGATATACTTTGACGCATCTTCTCACACTGGGCAGGTGTCGGAGACATATCGCCTCAAGAACCCGGCGCTCGTCGCGGAGAAGAAGAGCCTCTTCATGCCCAACCCACCAGCGCTCTACGAGGCGACCAAGGCCAACCTGGATGCGCCGATCAAGGATCTCGTCGAGGATGGCAAGCACGTGACGATCACGGACCCGGTGTTTGTGGGCGACATCTCGCTGAACCTCCGCATCCAGTTTGACTTGGATGACTAAGACAAGCCCACCAAGATGTCGGAGAGATCCGTTTCGATGGCATTGAAGCAGAGAATTCAAGATGTATGGAGGAGCGACTTGGACGCTGGGAGGATTCCTCCTCTGCGCGCGTTGGATCGTCAACACCCACCGTATGATCGGATCGTATACTTGTAGTTTGTATGTCGAGTAGGAACGCCAGTGTGCGGCAATGTGACGATGGGCGGGACCTGTGCCAAGTGCCAAGTGCCAAGTGGAGTACGAGCAGCTCGATCAGGGTCCGTACTGTAGACAGCAAATAATAAAAATGACACGCATCGCCTTTTTATGTCAAAATTGAATTATCTGTCCAGAGTTGAACCGACCCGTCACTTTGCCTTTGGGACCGAAACTTGATGCACGTGCCCGTGTTCCACCTTCCGATGCTCTCGGTCGACGAGCAAGACGCGCTCGTGGCCCTCGGTGCATCGGCGTTTTGCGATCTTATCGACACGAGCGCACGCCTCGACCGCAACCGCCACGCCGCGGTGCAGCTGCCGGCGCGCCACCCGGACGTCGACGACCGCATCTCGTTCCACGCCTCGACGCTCGTCAAGCGCGCCAATATGGACGCGATCGCGACCTATCACATCACAGCCACCGAGGCCAACGACGTGTACTGCCGCACCTTCCACTGCCTCCTCACGTCGGTCCTCTACACGCTCGAACTCCCGTCGGCAGGTCGCCCGTACCATTACGTGGCGGTGCGCTGGCTGCTCCTGCCGTCGACGCTGCCGTGGGTCAAGCCACGCGACGTGGTCGTTGTCGAGGTACTTTTGTGCAAACTTTGTCCTACGAGCTCACATGTCGGTGGCTTAGTATATGGATACGTTTATTGGGCGCGATGGCGTGCTCGGCTTTGCGCGCTGCGTGCACTCGATCGACCACCGCTGCGCCCCGTCGCTGGTCGCGACGCATGGTTTTGTGCGCGGCCACTTGTACAAGTCGGGCCTTTCGGTCGTGAACGAGCGCCGGCCGCACGAGCTCCAAGCACACATGCTATTGCAGAGCGACCACGGGCACTCGTTTGCGTCGCGGTATGCGACCAAGTCGGTCTGCGCAGGCCTTCTCCGACACTTTGATACACTCAACGAGCGCATCTATGTGCATTTTCACGTGCTGCCCCGCAAGATTAGTGTCTCGGCCTCGACGTGGCGACCAGACGACTTTGTACGCAGCATCCAACTGCCCAGTGCTCATGCCTGCACGATATAGGCGTCGACGTCGTGCGGCGACAAGACCGCGTGCACGTACTGCATGCAGGCGTTCCACCTCTTGCGGCGACCGACTTTGTGCGAGACGTGCCACCAGGTGCGTATGAGTCGCGTGTGGAGCGGCGCTGGTATCACCAAGTGCTTAGATTTTGTGCAAAAAATGCACCCGCCGGATCACCAAGACGTCTCGCCACCGCGTGTGCTTGACGTGCTACGTTCGCCACGAGATTGACGGCAGCCCGCGTCCGATCTGTACAGTGACGCAATGAACCTCGACTCGAAAGTCCTCATGTAATGTGTGTAGTTGCAGAGCCAATGCTGCTCGCGTCGCCTGGGTGGTCGGAGTTTTGCGCGCGGCGTCCGCCCGATGATCGCTTTGTCCAGTCGGTCTAGTTTCTGCGAAAAGACTAGCGTCAATAGTAGAGTAGGAGTCGACCATTTGCACTAATATAATGGGCCAATTGAATGGTTTTGTTTATCGCGGCGTTGACAATTCTGTCCACTTCGGTGACCGGTGTGGTCCAGTGTGTGGTCTACACGTTGGGCAAGGTACTGTAGTCTACAGTACACTCGCGCAGCGCAGCGCTGGTGCCACTGTGCTTTGCTTTCTTTCGCAGGTGCAGCGTGGATGTGTGCACGCGCCATCGCAGTGTTCGTCCAGTGACAGCCCGTGGCGTGTCCCAACGTGCTGCGTGCGGGAAGAGCAGCTCCTTCTTGCCATATCCTCGGCCGTCGCACGGTAGGACTTCGTTGGTCGTTGCTGTCGGCGTTGTCGGTGCCAAGGGCCAATTGTCGGTTCCAACCGGTCGGCTGCAAGAAAATGCAGCCTTTGAACTTGGTGCGTGGGGCTTTTATGAACATATATTTACGTAATAAAATGTACAATATTGTCTGTCAACTCGACGCGCGATGCTTCGAGGCGCTATCGATTTGCTTCGTCCTCGTTCGCGACGGTTCGAGGTCTATACAAACATCAAGTGTAGGAAAGGCGCGATTTAAAACCACACAAAAAATCACCAAGATGATGTTGACCCGCCACCTGCGCCGCGCGCTGAGCGACCTCGCGCCGCGCCAAGACCCGGTCGCCAACCGCACGCTCAAGCTCCTCGAGCGCAAGAAGGTCACAACGCTCGACATTGGCATCCTCAAGCGCAAGCAGAAGCCGATCACGATGGTCACGGCCTACGACTACCCTTCGTACGCCCGTCGTCTGCAGCCTATCGGTACCATTCTAACGCTAGGGCGGTGCACGTGGACCTTGCGGGCTTTGACGTGCTCCTCATTGGCGACTCGGTCGGCATGGTCGAGCTCGTACGCGATTGACGGCGCGGATTGAATTGCTCATGGATCGTATTTAGGGCATGGATACGTACGCTGGCTTGCTCCTGCCACAAGCATTGGAGTCTTAACCTTCTCGTAGCACGATTCCTGTGACCTTGGATGACATCATTTACCACTCCAAGGCTGTCTGCCGGTATTCACAACGTTCGATAATGACGATTTGGTTGACACGAGTATGGACTAGTGGCGCCAAGCGTCCGCTGCTCGTGGCCGACATGCCGTTTGACTCGTGCGAAGGCCACCGCTTCGAGGCGCTCAAGAATGCCCAGCGCTTGCTCAAGGAGGGTGGCGTCGACTGCGTCAAGATCGAAGGCGGCGTCGAGCGTGCGGAAACGAGTACGTGGCAAGCCACACTCGCATCGGTGGACGATATTCCTCTCTAGTCAAGACGCTTGTCGATGGCGGTATCGCCGTCATGGGCCACGTTGGCTTGCGCCCGCAGGCCATCTCGGTACTTGGTGGCTTCCGCGCGCAGGGTCGCACAGGTATAGTGTTACTCCTCGTCATTCGTCAACTCAACTTTACATCGCATGCGTAGCCAAGCAAGCCGAGCAGATCATTGAAGACGCACTCGCGGTGCAGGTAGATCTTTCTTCCTCTCGACGCCCTTCTGACTCGATTCCGTGTATTTGTAGAAAGCTGGTGCATTTGCCGTCGTTGTCGAGTGTGTGCCGTCGGTAGGCAACATCGCTCGGCGTGGCTTTTGTGAAAATCACGATATTCTAGGTCGTCGCCAAGGCCTTGACCGAGATCCTCGACATCCCGACGATCGGGATTGGGTCCGGTCAGCACACGAGCGGCCAAGTGCTCGTGTTCCACGACCTGCTCGGCATGCTCCAGCACCCGCACCACGCCCAGGTAGACAAAATATCGATGTATCAAGTATTCGACAAATTCGTTTGGCCTAGCACGTCCCCAAGTTTTGCAAGAAATACGCGGACGTGGGCGAGCGCATCCGCCAAGGCCTCGAGGCGTACCGCGAAGACGTCGAGCACGCACGCTTCCCGAACGACGACTATTCTCCGTACAAGGTATGTATTCCTTATAGCTGTGCGGCAGCGTCATGTAGTACGTAGATGTCCAAGGACGAGCAGGCCAAGCTGGCGGCGCTTGTCGACACCAAGTACGCCAAGCAAGCGGACGAGGCGGAAGAAGTGTTTGTCTCGGAAGTCTCCAAGGTCTATTAACACGAGCAATATTACTCCTTCTTGGCCTTGTCCTTGAGCCGCTCCGATTGGCGCGTGGGTTTGGGCGACGCTTTTGCTTTCTTCTTTCCCGCCTTTTTGGTCGACGGGCTCTTTACTGTCGTCGGTGGCGGAGTGCTGGCCGCCGTCTCGTCACCCGTCAAGAGCTCAGACACTGGCTCGGCCAGTACTACAGGCGGACAGCTATCGACAGCTACTGGAGTGTTCTCGACCACGCCACTCTCCGTAGAGCTAGCAGCCTCATCGGTACGCTTGGGTTGTGGAAGAGTGTTGACCAAAGGCTCAGCGACTTCATGGCTTGCGCCCTTGGCGCGATACGAGGCGGCGGCAAAGCACACACCGCCGAGTGCAAGCATCGCCACCGCCCACTGCATAGGTACAGTATACGTTGGCGAGGCAACCGATGTGTGAAGTAGGGTTGCGCAGCTCTCTTTGGCCTGCAGAGCTGACGTGACCTCCAGACCCTGTCAAGAGTCGTCGTCATTGTAGCAGTCCAAAAAACAAACCTCGGAAATGCGCCCAATGAGCGCCGATGTGGTAAACTCGACACCTATTGTTTGCATGAAAGAACGCGTTTACACTGACATCCACGTACCGTCAAAGGCCCACGCAGCTTCCATGTACACGCGCCACGGCGATCCTTTGATCGGTGCTGACGTCGTGAAGAGGAAGAGGAAGACCGTGCCCGTCGTGTCGATCGTGTCCCCTCTCGCGGCTTGGAACGGCGCGCTAGATGCACATCGTCGATTTGCTGTGGGCGATGATCCACTGCGAGACGCACCGCTTGCCTTGGAGCGCATCCAAAAAGATGTCGAGCGCCGTGAGCTTGGTCGACCTATATGTAAATGGCATCAACGACGTTGGAAGTGGCGTGGAATGGCGTACGGCAATGCCTGCAGATTCTCGACGACCAGCATTGAGCGCTTGGGGCTAGCACGGACAACGCTAACGAGCTTGCTGTGGATCTCTCGCTGGATCTCGCTCGTCGAGTGGTGCGACAACTACGAGCTATAAGAACTGTGCATTTTGCACTAAGATTTGACGTACGCCCGCGAGGTCCACGGTCGCAATAGGCGCCGATGAGCTGGAGTCGCCAAAGTATGTACGCGCCACAATGTCGCGCGATAAGGAGAGCTCCTACGCACCAAGTCCTTGCGGCGAGAACAAGGAGAGTGCGGTGCGCACCTCATGGGCATTTTCCGACAAGAGCAGCAGTGACAATGGCCGCGAGCGGTCGGTTCTACGAGCACTGCATTAGCTGGGCGACGCTGAGCAGACGACGGACTCGAAGGCGATCATGGCATCGGGGAGATTGGCGTGGACGCTTGACAGACATGCGACTAGGCAGCATCGTTGGCGCCTGCAGTGGTGCGAGTCGAGTGCTAACCAGATGCTTCAACACGCTGGACGAGCGCATCGCCGACATAGGCCGCGCTCGACACGGTGTTCGTGCTGAGCACGAGGGCGAGGCCAAGGACAAGGGCCCGAAGACCGCCAACAGAGATCGTCTTGCGTTGCATCCTGCCTGCGCTGGAAAATTGAAGCGCGAGGACGTGGTTCGATTCGGATATGTCCTGAAATCCGAATCTCAACGTAGTGATTTTCGGCGGGGTTGTCACAGCAACCTCGTTTGAACTTGAAAAGCATTTGGTTCTTTGGCTTTCGGCGGCGTGGCTGATGGCGCAAGCAGCGTCCCAGCATAGCACCTCAACCAACAAATACCTTGACGTGATTTACTTATATATACTTTATAAACTACCACCGGGGGTGCATGAATCAGTTGATGCATGAGGACTGAAGATGGAGGAATTCCCGACGCCCGACGACGTCGTGGTGTTTGCGCGTTAATTGCTACGTGCTTTTAATCCACTCAAATTCTCTAATTATAGGTTTGTATAAGATGCGAATAAAAATATACCGGGCGACAACTTCAACGTGGGCAATTAAATACAGCTGGTTTAACTATAGCCACGTGTGGCGCGCATTAAATTGCGATCCGGATCCGGATAGCCCGTTGCACTTGGTTGCGTTCACTTTCAGAATCTCGACATCTGCAGCATGTCGTCTGTCTCGCGCTTCGCCACCCGCCTCGCCCGCCCGCTCTCGCGTGGCATCTCGTCGACGTCGCATGTCGCCGCCGAGGTCGTCTCGCGCAACCACCCGACGCCCGTCACCAACCCGCACGTCGCGACGCCGCAGACGGTCTCGGTCATTGGCGTGCCCATGACCCGTATGCCCTTGCTGCTCCTAAAAGCTTGTCGCTCAGCCTTTCTGCTCATTTTGTAGATGGCCAGCCCTTACTTGGTGCTGATTTTGGCCCGGACATGCTTCGCAATGCTGGCCTCCACAAGGTCATTACGGAGCTCGGCTGGTGCGTCGAAGAGAACGGTACACTTACACTTGCATTTTGTGCTATCGCCACGCAACAAAAGCTGCATGATATCGTCGTAGGCAACCTCAACATCAAGCCGCCGACCGCAAGCGACCCGGTCATGGACCCCAAGTACGGCCAGGCCAAGCGCAGCTTTGCAGGTCATCATCGACTGTTGAAATGTGTGGGGCTCATGCAGGCGACTAGTTGGCAACGGCTTGAAGCAGCTCGCAGATGTCTACGAGGAGAAGGCCAAGCAAGGCAAATTTACGCTCGTGCTCGGTGGTGACCACACGATTGGCGCGGGCTCGCTTGCGGGTCTCCTCCGCGCGCACCCGGACGCTGGCATCATCTGGGTCGACGCGCACGCCGATATCAACACGCCCACGACGTCGGACTCGGGCAACATGCACGGCATGCCGATCTCGTTCCTCATGCAGAACCTCGTCGACTCGTCCAAGGTCCCCGGCTTTGAGTGGCTCGCGAATGGCCCCGTGCTCAAGCCCGAACAGCTTGTGTACATTGCCCTCCGCGACGTCGACCAGGGTAACTTGTCGCCTTTTGCTGCAAATTCCTTGAAAAACCCTGTCATTGCAGGTGAGAAGCGCATTCTCAAGGACCTCGGCATCAAGGCCTTCTGCATGCAGTCGGTCGACCGCTACGGCATTGGCAAGACGATGGAGATGGCACTGGACCACCTCTGCGGTGAGAAGGAGCGCCCGCTCCACATGAGCTATGACATTGACGCCGTCGACCCTGTTGACGCTCCGTCGACGGGCACGCGCGGTAGGGTCCCCTTATCTGCAACTGCGGTCGGACAGACGTAACTCTTTTAGTGCGTGGCGGCCTCACGTGGCGCGAAGCCAACTACGTTGCCGAAGCGGTGGCCGAGACCAACCTCGTACGCCGCTCGATATGCTACGCAACCCGTTCTCATGCGTCTACCTGTGTAGCTTGTGGGCTTGGACATGGTCGAAGTCAACCCGTCTCTCGCGCCGGGCAAGGGCGCCGACCTCACGGTGGATATGGCGCTCCTCCTCATTGGCTCAGCGCTCGGCCGTCGCATCCTCTAAGCCCTTTTTTACTACTAGTCTACTGTCGACTTGTCCATAGATTAACTACTACCAACTACGAACAGCATGCGCCGTCTTAAACATACCGGCTATAGTGTTTTACTTGGATGGAGTTGTGAGCGTGACGACGAGAATGGTCGTCGACGGATGCGTCGTGAGGCTCGCTGTCAAGTACGCGCGGACACTGGCCGCCTCGAGAAAGGGCTAGACGACGCAGGCGTGAAACACGCAACTGCTGATAAGTCGTAGTCGTACCTCTGGCGCCGCGAGCTTCGAGTCGAGGTTGTAGAACGTACCATGGACCTATGTACCCAGGCGGTAGAAGCGGGCGACAGCGCCAACGACGCACCTCGCGAATGCAGAACCAGTGACGCGACTGCCAAAGCCCCAACAAACTCGACTGCGGCACGTTGCAGATGAGGCCGACGCACGTCTCGAGCGGCAGCGCAGTGAGCGGTTTCCGCACGTCAAAGTAGCTCACCGTGTACCCTAGTCATCGTCTCAAGCAGCCCGTCGTCGGCATGGACGCAGTAGGTAGCACCTTGGCGAAGCAGCGCAAGACTAAGGACCTCAATGTCGTAGTTGCCCAAGAGGCCGCGATGGGGGTTGCGCCACGTGCTCGGGCAGAGCTCGGCGCAGAGCGCGTCAAAGTCGCTCGCCTCAAAGGCGCGGCCTACGCAGAGCGCGTTGCTGCGTCAGACGTGGCGAGGTTCGCATACGCTGCAGGAGGTTGTTGGCTGCGTGTACGCCGCAGCGCATGAGCTGCTGCGGCTCGTGGTAGACGTCGGCCGTTGCCATCGTTCTGCGTTCTGCATGCGATCCGGCGCTTACAAATGGTACCCTTTTTTGTCACATGGAAGAGGCAAGGCGACTAGGTAGAGAGATCCTAGTCGAGCGCCAAATTGCCTTTTCTTGTCCACGAGCGTCGCCGTGTCGCACAAGAAGGCTTCAAAGTCCACCCACGTCAACGCTGTCGGTAGCTCGCTTCTCACATGTAAAGCATGTCGACGCGCACGCTGACGCGCCTCGTTGGATGCTCTCAGCTCTTATTTGTTGCATTCCATACTAGGAGCGGTGGGTCACTCTTGGACGCATCACGTGAATGAGCTTGTTGACGGAAGAACATTGGCGCCAAGGGCCATTTCACTGCTGGTTTATGCGCGCGGGGAGCCTTGCCGGGCCGCGACAGCGTCCCAGTTGTTGGGCGGTTTGGTTTGGACGATCCGCGCCGCTGCAATGGTGTCTTGAATACGCTGGACCAGCTGTGGTCGAAACCGTGGGTCGGTCATGTGGCGGGCACCCTGGCCGACCAAGCACGCCTCGTTCAAGCCGGCACGACGCGCTTCTTCGCTTCTTTGGGTGCGCCGCGGCGTCACGTGCGATGGAATGCGGTCGATCAAGAAGGCTTCCTTCTCGTTCCACGACGCATTCGGAGCGACTGCGTACTGTTTCGATGCCCGCCAGTACGGCGAGAGCACGTCGTTGCCATTAATGTAGAGCAGTCGGGTCGCATCTGTCTCGGTCTCGATGGGCAAGTAGTGCGCGAGGCTACCGCAGAGCGTGTCGTTGTGCAGACGCATGTCTTCTGGCAGCGCCACGTTGGCGGCCGCAAACGGCGAAAAGGCGTACGGGGCGTCGGCAAGGGCAAAGGCCAGCCAAAAGTACTCCTTGTCGCCCCTATGTATAGTATTAGTTTAGTAGGAAGCAGCGATGTTGCACCAACCACGAAAGACCGGGTTTGTACGCGCACTCAAAGCGGAGGTGGTGCACCAAGTGCCAGAGCACTTGCCACACGACGGGGGCGACGCGTGTCTTGTGGATCAAAACGATCGACGAGTCTTGCTCGTGGGCTGTTTTGCCCTGCCACGCGCTTGACGCGCGCAATTGGCTCGAGAGATGGGGCTGGCGCAAGCCGAACGCACTGTATGGAAAGTGCTGGAACAAGTGATGCAAGAGTGTCTTCTTCCGACTACCAGGTCGCTTGGGCTGCGTCATTGGCGTGTTGAAGAAGGCGGGCACATGAATCTGCCGGTCGTAAAAGAAGAGGGTACCGGTTTGGTTGTACCCGGGCATGGTCCAGAGCGTATCCGGCGACTCCAAGAAGATGACGTCCGCGTCCAGAAGCATGACTTGGTCGAACGACGTGTGGAGGAGCGAAAGGACCTTGATCAAGTAGCTCTGGTACTCGAGCGCGATCCAGTGACTCGGGAACACTCCGTTGGCCAGAAGAAGCGCACAAACGTCAACAATCTCGACGCGGCCGAGCGGATCGGTCGCCCGCAGGAGCGCCTGCGTCTCGTCCACGAGCTCGCCAGAGAAGCAGTGGTAGATCTGGATCGGGAGCGTCGAATTAAGTCGCCGAAGCTCAAGAATGAGCGAGACGCCCAGTGCGGCCATATTGTTGTGCAGCGGAATGACAATGCCGGCGCCGGTGGATGCCGATTGCGCCTGGAAGGTCGATGGACTGTACGTCGGCACGTTGAGGGCGACGTGGGGCCGCAAGAGATGCGATGCGCTTCTCTCGCCCGCGGGGAGCTGCATATAGAGAAAGGGCGCAATGCACACTAGCAGCAGCAATGGAGCGAGCAGCACCAAGGCCAGAGATGGCGGGCGACGGCCGGCCGGCCGCGCCACTGGCCCGTGCTCAAAACGCTGCGCGTGCATGGGATTGGCTACTTTACAAAATATAGAGCCAATCCGAGGGGCTTCAATGGCATCATATGGTACTGGATTGGGTGAAATATAGAGTGGGTTGCGTGGCTTCGACAAATCACACGCAGCTTGAGAGATACCATAATGATGAGACCTGCTGTGTGTTGCTCGAAGAGAGTCCCGTTTTCATTTTTGCCCGTGTTGTAGTAGAAAGCGAGTAGAAAGCTACAAGAAATTTGCCCAACTACACGTAGAGGGATGCTTTGCCGATAAGTATAGGACGGTTGCCCGACACGACGCTTTGCACTTTGAACGCAGTGTGTGCGATTACCTTGGTTGAGTACTACCAAGCATTTCGATCTCAAACTGGCGTGGCAACTCTACGAACATGTAAGTCGCCTCTACGGAGCGGCTCACCTCGCTCAATACCGAGTGGCACTACGGATTGCGTCACGTCGCGTCGACAGGAGTAAATGCACTAGTCCTTAACGGTGGAGCATTTATCCGGAGGTTGTATCCGGATGAAGTCCGTGCGCCGCTTGCTCAACAGGCTGCTGGCCAACTTTGGAGTTTGAAACGAAGTCTTGTTTTTCGATCTACTTGTATCGAGAATGTCGCAGGGAGTCCTATGACGAACGTACGGTGCTCGTAGCATGCCTACAACCTGTGTTATGCACCATTCAAGTTTGCCAATGCTGATACTGGATTTAGTATCAATGTATCAGTGTATCATGCAAGCACAAAGCAGAAACTCAGCTAGCTCAGGCTGTAGGCACGCTACGAGCACCATTCTTTGGTTTTTGGACTCCCCACATCGCCGACTATTCATATAGAACGAAACACGAGACTTCGTTTCAAACTCCAAAGTTGGCCGGCAGCCTTTCGAGCTAACGGACATCATCCGGATACAGCCTCCGGATAAGATACTGCACCACCAAGCCTGTCCTGCCCCTCTTTCTCGCCCACGCGACGCGACGTGATGCTATGACGCGTACGGCCAACACGTAGAACTGTACCTCCATGTGCGCAAATAGCTACAAAAGACAAGATAGCACCTATCAGTTTCCACCAGCTTTGTACCCCGCATGGCACAGGAGGTAGGCGGTCACAAATCTGCAGCGTTCAATTCTGAGTGCTTCGACAAAAGAGCTTTCAGTACCCTGTGAAGCACAAACAAGGTAGCGCGCGTTGCCTTGGCCGAGAGCTGCGTGCGCAAAGCACTGGCGTCCGCATGGGCTTGAACAATACTCTTTGGCGCGTTTAACGTGCCGAGCAGCGACGCGGTCGACTCCTTCTCGCGCCAAACGTGCTCGACTCCTTCTCGCGCCAAAAGTGCTCGACAAGCGCCGCGTAGTGTTCAAGGACAACTACACAGGAGCGACCGATGGTCTGCCAACGCGAGGGCCCCATCGTTGGAATTTTTGTGCGCACCGTCTCTGGCTTGTCGTCACTGTCGAGGGTCGCGTCGTCGTGGGTACCACCGAGAGCAGACACAAGCTGCGCAATGGCCAAACGCGCAGCCTCCGGCGACTCGGTGGCGGACGCCGACCTGGCGCGGCTCGTAGCCAGTGCGTCGAGAAGGGCCTGGCGTCGCTCGGCGCTGTGGTTGATGTAGCTGACCAGCTTCTTCAGTAGCTGCATTTGCGGAGCGACAGTTGGCAGCTTAGCAAGCTTTGTACCGACAGAGTGCAATTGATGGTTGATGGAGTCAAACGCGAGGATGTTCTTGTTCTTGGCTCGTGCTTGCGCGTAAAACCCTACAATTGTACGTATCGTGAGTGAGGCATCGACAATAAAGTGGCAATTCGCTCTGTAAATACCGTCGAGACGTCCCCGGGATGCATTGTCAAGATTGCTCAGGGACAGAACATTGGTCCAAGGAAGGTTGTATGCTTCCAGCACGTCCGAGACGAGCTCAAACAGCGCAGCGCAATTCGGCTTGCGCGAGCAGTTGACCACGCCGATACACTTGGCGTCCAGGGGCTTGGAGGTGGGGTGCGTAAACGACACGGCTATCTGAAGCATCTCGCGTGCCGTCTCGAGAAGCGACACATTGACGAGCTTGATATCCTTGTGCCGCAAGAGTCACTTGTCCTTTGTGCGAACGTACGCGGCGATGTCCAAGGCC